AAAAAAAAAGATGAAAAACTCACTTGAAAATTCTTGAAAAGTCACTTCAAACAATCTTTCAAAATCCGATGGGTTTGGATGGGATTGTTTTATGAATTTGGTATTTATAAATAACACTAGAAAGTCCTTCAAAATCCCTCTCACACAACAATCCTTTAAAATCTTTATATTTTTGAATACCAATGGATTGTTTTTAAGTTGTAAAAAATCTCAAATGAATACCAATGGATTTTAATGGACTCTTTAAAAAATCTTGAAAATCCAAATTGAATACCATTGGATTGTTTTTAAGTGACATAAAATCCTGATTGAATACCAATAAACTTTTTTACTCAAAAAAAGTCTTTTAAAATCCTACGAAATCCTAAACCAATACACCCCCCTTAGTTTTTTAATCCTTCACTGATTATTCTCATGTATAAAGTTGCAAGATTAAGAGTGCATTATTTTATATAATTAATTACTAATATGTGGTTGGTTTGTGGAATTAGACTCCGTTCTTCATAAGAAAAATTGTAGTGGACAAGTGAGATAATATTAAAGATAATAAACCAAGTATTCTAGCAGAGATTTCATGTGGGTATTTTACTCTTATGTTATAATGATCTATAGAATTAAATATAATTAATTTTAAATTATTAAGTATAACTAAAATATGTGTATGAAAAAGTTTCCATACTAACGATATTTAATCATAGTATCATGAGCTAAATTAGTATTATGTTGAATCAATCTAATTAGGTAACGTGGTTAAAGTATGAAACAAGAGAAATATGAATAGGTCTTGTGTTTTGTGTGAATCCCAATGACTCATGAATTATGGGGATTTAATGATATGATATGATACTGCAGGAATGGGATCCAGCAGAGAAGGAACTCATTCGAAGATGGTGTTTTTGGAACAACATGCCCCATTCCACCAGGGAGGAACTTCACATACATACTTCAAGTGAAGGATCAAATTGGGAGCTTTTACTACTTCCCATCTCTTGCATTCCACAAAGCCGCAGGTGGTTTCGGAGGCATCAGGATTCTCAGCAGACCAAGAATTCCAGTACCCTTCCCTGATCCCTCAGGAGATTACACTGTTCTCATTGGAGATTGGTACAAATCCAACCACACGGTAATTACACTTGTCACTTTCTATTTCTCACATTTAGAGCATATGCAGTATAGTGAAAGTTATTTATAAGAAATTTCTTGTGTCACATAATGTTATATTAATTTTTTATTTTATTTTAGAATTGCTTAAATTTAAGTAAAGTTATTTATAAAAATTCCAGAACTAAAATTTAAATAATCCATAAAATAAAAAAGAACTTATATAACAGAAGGGATTGCTTATAAACAATTCTACGGTATATGTTGTTAGATATACAGCAGCTTTAATAAATTTAAGCTCAATTTTGTCATAATTTTTTAGCCCTGACCAAAAACATCTTATACGCCCTCTTTCTTTCTTTTTGACGTGCGTAGTTCACACAGTCCCACACCGCCGCTTTCTTTGAGTGAGTGGCAAGTAAAACCCATTATATATGCCTTTTACTTTTAGTTTTTTTTAATTTTACTTTAATTTGCGTAACTAATAATTTTTCAAGAATTATATGTTTTTATAGAAGTAATATGCGATTGAGACGGATCTTGTGAAGCGTATTCATGACTCATGCGCAGACTGCAATACTGCAGTGACTTGGTTTGGTGGCAATCTCACAGGCTTCTCATGCATTACATGTCAATAAATACTCATTCATTTATTCATTCCTAACAAAAGTAAACTTGGATCTCCATTTTTTTGCTTTGTGTGCCAAGAGATAACCCTTTCTATCGGTGATCACGTCATCTTCCACAAACTTATTCTCCCAACTGTCATCCACCTTCTATGCAAATTACCATTTAGAATATCCTTTGACAAGATCAAATTTTGACATTAGTTTCTCTTATTATTTCTTAAATAAGATGTTTGAAAATCAGTGTAAAAGTAGTAAAAAGAAAGAAAAGATAAAAATTTGATCGAATCTGGGTGTAATTTACTCTCTGTATCCTGTTTCTTATTCTACTATTAGATATTGATTTCAACAATATTATATCTGTATATATATATACTTTAAGTGATACTCTAAACAAATAGATCAAGAACTTAGTTTTTTATTTTATTTTATGAATTAATAACTAGTACTGCTACAATTGAATTGATTAAGGGTTCAAAAGAAAATTCTCCACTTTATGAGAAACCTAGTAATTAGTCAACTAGATAACCAAGTAAAATTAGACTTCGACAATAATCTTTTAAGTTGGACTTTTTACTTCTCTATGTAAAATGTATTGTTAAAATTAAATTATGCACTTTAATTTTTATCAAAGTTATTTCATCTAACTTGTTCAAAAACTGAGGTAAGTTAATTTTAACTTGGTGGAAAAAAATCCATTTTACTTATTTTTTTTCTTAAATGTTTATGAAAAAAATATTGAAACATGAATTGAGTGCCTTGTCCAGGTTGATTAAGGGTGTCACTCCCTTTTGACGACTTTTATTCAAAAAAGAAAAAACAGTAATCAATTTGTGGATTATATGCAGACTTTGAAAGCCCATCTTGATAGGGGTAAGAAGCTGCCTTTTCCTGATGGAGTCCTTATCAATGGTCGCGGTCCTAATGGTGTGTCTTTCAACGTAGAACAAGGTATGCAGCTCATCTAGTTAATGTCTCTGTCTATTAAACGAAAAAACAAAAAGGTTGTATGCATAAAAAAATTAAGAATAATTTTGACACTATTTTTTGGTATGTTACTAACTTATGATGTCCACAACAGGAAAGACTTACAGGCTTAGGATATCAAATGTGGGGCTTCAACATTCCCTTAACTTTCGCATCCAGAACCACAAAATGAAGCTGGTAGAAGTGGAAGGAACACACACCCTTCAAACTTCGTACTCCTCTCTCGACGTTCACGTGGGTCAATCTTATTCAGTGCTGGTAACAGCCGATCAACCTGCTCAGGACTATTACATTGTGGTTTCCACGCGATTCTCCTACAAGGTCCTCACCACCACTGGAGTTCTTCGCTACAGCAACTCCGCGGGCCCAGTATCAGGCCCACCCCCTGGTGGACCTACAATCCAAATTGATTGGTCTTTGAACCAGGCCCGCTCAATCAGGTATTTTATTACTCTCTGTTAGTATTATTTATTTTACCAACTACTTTATATATATATATAATATATATATATATATATTTAAGTCTATCAAGATTTACTTGGTTCAATAACTCATATTTTACTCATATTTTATACCGGTGTTCATGGATCAGTTTTTTTAAAAATTCAAACCAAACTGAACCGATCCATTTTATAAAAGTGGATCGGTTTGATTTTTTTAAAATATAGATCATTTTTTTTAAATTGGATCAGTTTGGTACTGTGCAATTATTTATTTTTTACTCATATATGAATCGATTTTTTTAAAAAATCAAACCGAACCAATCTACTTTGTAAAAATGGATCGGATAATTGAACCAGTTTTATAAAGTATATTGGTTCGGATTTTTTTCCAAAATGGATCAGATTTTTTAATATGGATCAGATCGGTTATGGATCGGTTCGGATCAATTAGGATTTTTTGCACACCCCTAATCTTTTATATCAAAATTTAACAATTCAACTGTTAAATTTAAAGTTCTTAATATATAGATTAAGTTTACAAATTATAAAAAATTTGAAAATTATTTGATACATTATTTCATTAATTCAAATCGATGGATAATCATAAAATCATTTAACATGTTAATTTGAATTAATGAAACGAAATATCGAATAATTTTCAAATTTTTTAAAAATTTGCAAACTTAATTTATACATTAAAAACTTTAAATTTAACGTTGAAATTTGATATAAAACATAAGTTATCGAATGAAATCTAAGTAGACTAGCTAGTGAATTAAATGAATCATTTCTCTCTCTATATATATATTATTTTAAAATTGTAATATTTAAGTTTCTAACCTGCAATTTAATACATAATATATAATTTCAGGACTAACCTTACAGCAAGTGGACCGAGGCCGAACCCGCAAGGATCCTATCATTACGGTCTCATAAACACGACCAAGACCATCATTCTGGCGAGTTCTGCTGGTCAAGTTAATGGGAAGCAAAGATACGCAATTAACAGCGTGTCTTACGTTGCTCCAGACACACCTCTTAAGCTCGCGGATTACTTCAAAATCTCTGGTGTTTTCCGGGCTGGAAGCGTATCTGAAAGACCCACCGGTGGTGGCATTTACCTTGACACATCCGTCTTACAAGCTGACTACAGAACTTTTATTGAGATTGTCTTCCAAAACAACGAGAACATCGTTCACAGCTATCATCTCAATGGCTACTCTTTCTTTGTCGTTGGGTGAGTGACCACTTAAATTATAAAACGAAAATGCTAAATATGTTGACAGAAAGGCCAACATGTATCATCATTTAATGTTAAAAAAAAAATTCAAATTTTACCTTTAAGTCTCACTCATTGTGAAGACAACCTAGTATGTTTAGCTTTCTGGATTGGTGTAAATTATTTCAATTGTGTATGTAATTGTTGGTCTAAAATATGTGAATTATTTATGCAGTATGGATGGGGGACAGTGGACACCTTCTAGCAGGAACCAGTATAATCTCCGAGATGCAGTTTCACGTTGCACCACACAGGTGAGAATCAGCCATCTTTTTTTGTGTGGCTAACAATGTTGTTCATGCCCTTTATTTCTGGCTACTAAGGTTTGATTCTTGATTTTTTTTTAGGTATATCCCATGTCATGGACTGCTATTTACGTTGCACTTGACAACGTGGGAATGTGGAACTTGAGGTCTGAGTTCTGGGCACGACAATACCTTGGCCAACAGTTATATTTGCGCGTTTATACATCATCAACCTCAATCAGAGATGAGTTTCCTGTTCCAAAGAATGCAATTCTGTGTGGTAGGGCAAGTGGGAGACACACGCGACCCCTTTGAGCTAGCAAGGGTTTAAGGGTTCCACGCATTCTAGCTTTAGAATACAAAAAGTAATTAACTTATCTACTTCTAATTTTAATGTCGAGTGCTTTCGTTTATTTATGCTATCTTCCAGTGGGTTTATGAATATGTATGATTTTACCCCTAAATGACCCCAGCTCGGGGTCACATTAATTCTTTCCCAGAGAGTTAGAGAGTGAGTGAGAGAGAAAGAAACAACATATTATATTAATATATGTTCCCTTTGTATCATCTCGAATTTTACTAGTATTTTTATTAAGTAAGGTGAATGGGATAATGAAAGTTGACATTTGGATTTTGGGTTAGCAGGGCTATGATTCGTTTTATTGTTGTAGAAGAGCAGAACATTTCATTTCAATTGGTATATGTCTAAATCCTTTTCCGCTTACCGTCTGCAATGTTGACACAAGAAACGATGCAAGATACTGAATTATTTATGATTGTGAAGATTAAGCATTATCTGTAACTTCAAGAGTGAACAAAATCTGCTTTAATGAAAGAGTGAACTTAATCTGCCTTGGTAAGGAGTATCCCTCATTGATACTGCTCTTGTATTAGGGGCCTCTTCTAGAGAAATGGACATATAAAGGAGGTTTTATTTTTTTATTTTTTATTTTTTTTACAGCTAGACCTTAGAGGAAGTTATATACTTATTTTTTTAGTTTATTAAAATACGAAATTCTCTCAAAATAGTTTCTAAATTTTTTTGCATAATTATCTTTGATCCTGCTTATAGTAAATATATAATTATAAATAAATATTGGTTTTTTTCTCAGTTAAGTCAGAAAGTAATCAACATAAACATAATGATTTGCATATGTTCGGTTTGAATAATTTACTCTAATTAGATTATGGGTATGAAGATTACAGTGGTTGTTTTCACTTTATTTATGATTTATAAAAGAGAACTTACTCTCCATTAGTGATAGATAATTCATAATTTTATTGAATTTTTTTAAAAAGATTGGTAGTTGATTTTAATTTTATATAATGTTGTATTTTATTCTAATCAAACTTTTTCATTATAAAAAAAATTCATTAGTAAACTTAAATAGTAACATTTTTCTTAAAACCTCTTTAGTTTAAAATAATTTATACTATGATATAAATTTATTTTTAATTATTCAAAAAATAATTTAATTTCAAAATAAAATGATTAATAAATAAGTTATATATTTAAATATATTTATTACATTTTAATTCTATATAAATAAATACTATTAAGTATTTTACATAAATTAAAATATTATTTTATTAACATGCATGTTAAATCAATTTTTTTAGCAATTTATATGTTAACTATATAACAAATATTTTAGTATGTGCATTTTAATAATTTAATGTTTATTATATATAACTAAAACTGATAAAAAAATTATACATATGAATAAATATTATATTTGAATATATAAATTATATTTAAAAATAAATATAAATAATTTATATTATGATACAAGATTATTTTTAATTATTAATAATTTATTTTATAATATTAAAATTTAATTCACATATATATAGTCTTCTAAAATAATTTGTTGCGTAAATATATATAATTATGAGGTTTAAACGACATCGGTATAACTTTTACCTTTTACAAAGTATTACACCGCTCAATAAATTTATATTAAATATGAATTTTATAAATACAACCATTAGATTGAAAGTTTTTTACTCTTAGATCATATATACAAAATTTTATATTAACTCAAGATGATTTGATACTTTATTCTAATAAAAAAAATTAACGTAATATATACATTTCAAAATATAGTAAAATATGAATACTTTGATTACCTTCAAGTTGTTGTTCAATTTTAACAAAATTTGATATAAATATATAAAGTGATACAAAGTTATAATTTAATGGTTGGATTTACAAAATTCACATTTAATATAAAGTTATTGAGCAGTGTAATACTTAGTAAAAGTTACATCGGTATCGTTTGAACCCTTCTCTATAATTATATATAGAGAATTTTTTTTACAAATTGATAGATAATCATAAAATCATTTCATATGTCGATTTGAATTAATGAAACGAAGTATTGGTTTTCAAATTTGTTAAAAAAAATTTCAAACTTGATCTATCATTAAAAAACTTTAAATTCAATGATCAGACCATTAAAATTTGATGTAAAATATAAGTTGAACAAAGTAAATCTAAGTAGTAAATAAAACATATAATTAATTTTTAATCATGCACTTCTCATATTTATAAATAACCCAATTAATTATTTTAAAACTCTTATCAATTTATTTATAAATCTTGGAGTGTTACACGAACAAAAAAAACTTTAAAAATTAAAATAATAATATTTTTAACTATAGGAAAAATAAAGTATACGAAATTTAAAAAGACTGGAAAAGTAATCAAAACTCTTATTTTTTATTCTATAATTAATAACATTTCATTTAATTTCATATATGTGTGTGTTATTTCTTTTTTAAAATCTTTTTAGTTTTGTAAACTTTATCTTAGCTAGATGTTATGACTAAATTGAAACAAAAATAACATATATAAAATATATTTTATATTTTAAAAATATCTATTTATACTAATTTTAAAAATAATTTATATATTCAAATATAATATTTATTTATATATAATTTATTATAGATTTTAATTATATAATAAATATTTAACCT